TAGAGGAGGTAGAAGTAAGCACAAGTCTTAAGAGACCCAATCCAGTGTCGTCTTCACTAAACCATTATTACTCAGCTTGTTCATGTGGTGGTTCACTTACAGCGAGGCTGGGGCAGGGGCCTTTGCTTGTCTTAGCAACAACATGAGGAAGGAGGATTAGGTGGGGCAATCATGTTCAACAAAGGCAAAGCGCAACCCAAACAGTTATTCCAGGACAAAGGCGTTTGGAATTCTGAAAAGTAAGTTACTTTGTCACTGCCCATCTTCTAGCATTTTATGTTTCCTCTGTTTCCAGACCACACTCCAGACAGATGAGGTGAAGAATGTACCTTGTGGGACTAGGTAAGGTACCCAGAATAAAGCTGTTAAGCCCAAATAAGTCAGAGAAAGGGCTATCTGGCTGGCTGCAGGAAGAGACAGTGAAAAGGGAGGCACCCTTTCTTGGTTAATTATCTGTCCAGTAGCTCCCTGTATTGATTTGACCAGGTGATGGAGTACAGTAGAGGAAATCATAGATGGTTCGGGAGGGGCTAGAATGCCCTGCCTAATAAAGGAGTTTGCACTTACTCTATTAGACGTGAGGATCACTATTCACAGTAACAAAGACTTGGAATCAACCTGAATGCCCATCAACAATAGACAGGATAAAGAAAATGTGGTAAGTATACACCATGGAGTACTATGCAGCCATATGAAGGAATGAGATCATGTCCTTTGCAGGGACATGGATGGAGCTGGAAGCCATTATCCTCAGCAAACTAACCCAGGAGCAGAAAACCAAATACCACATGTTCTCACTTATAAGTGAGAGCTGAATGATAAGAACACATGGACACGTGGTGGGGAACAACACACACTGGGGCCTGTCAGAGGGTATGGAATCGGGATAAGAGAGAGCATCAGGAAGAATAGCTAATGTGTGCTGGCCTTAATACCTAGGTGATGGGATGATCTGCACAGCAAACCACCATGGCACACGTTTACCTGTGTAACAAACCTGTACATCTTGCACATGTACCTTTGAACTTACTTAAAAGTGGGAATAAAATAAAATTTTAATATTCAAAATAAAGAAGTGAGGGTGCGCAAAGGTTTTTTAGCAGATAAATGGCCTGATACAAGAAGATAACTTTTGCATAACTAAGGGGAATGTCATAAACTTCGGGGAGACCTTCAGGGCAAAGAGATCCGAAGAAAGCACTGCTATAGCAGTCCCGTTGGAAAGAAAGGAGAGTTTAAACTGGGATAGAGTAACAAAGAATACCACAAAGAAATGCTCTGACAGATCCGGAATTGGAACATTCCACAAGATAACAGGCCTGATCTCTTCACAAAATGGTTGTATTTAGAGAGATGTGGGATAGAACGGAGACTTAAACAGTAGAGAGACATAAACAGTAGCAAGGGTGAGCATTGATTAGAACCTGGTTTAAAATAGCTGTGACAGGTACAACAGGACTTATGTGAGTCCACCCAGGCTGCCATGACAGAGGATCACATACCCAGAATCTAAAACAATGGTTATTTATTTTCTCACCATTCTAAAGACCCTAAGTCTAAGATCAGGGTGCCAGCAGGGGGTAGTTTTGGTGAGACCTCTCTTCCTGGCTTACAGGTGACCACCTTTATGCCATGTCCTCACATGGCCTTGCCTCTGTCTGAGAGAAAAAGGTCTTTGGTGGATACCAGACCTGTTGGATCAGGACCCGCTCTTATGATCTATTTAACCTTAATTACCTTCTTGAAGGCCTAATCTCCAAATATGGGCACACTGGGGGTTAGGGCTTCAACATATGAATCTAGGGGTGAGGTGTACACAGGTCACTCCGTAACGCAAACCGTTGGGGAAAAATTTGAATAAGGACTGGGTATTAGGTGATATTACAGAATTATTGCTAATTTTCTTAGGCTTGAGAATGATATCACGAGTGTATAGGAGAATGATTATCCTTAGACATTGCTCGCCAAAATAAAAGAGTAAAAGTATCCTAACTGCAGCTGACTTTGAAATGTTCAGGAAAAAAAATAGATAAAATGTTATCAGTGTTGAATTTAGGTGTCTGTATATGGTTATTAGTTGTACTCTTCTTTCAGCTTCTCTATGTGTTTGGAATCTTTCTATAATAAATATTTGAGTGCAAGGGGAGTGCAACACTAAAGTGATAGTGAAGATAGTTTAAGAAACATTAACCACAAAACTCCACAGTAACCTTGTAAGTTCTGAAAACTTCTTGACCCTCCTTAGACTTTTCCATGCAACTGATTATTTCAGTCAAAAGGCATTGTTGACTCCAAAGATACAAGTTACCTTTTTGTGCTGGCCCCAAAAGTCTCACTTATGTCTTTGTAGAGATGTTCCTAGGTAGTGTGATTTCTCAGGAGAGTGTGCTGTTGCCATAAGCCCTGCGGAACTCCTACTTGGAGATCCAAGCTGCCTTCCAGCCTCCTATGAACTCTTCTACTCCTTTTCTGCCAAGCCCCACATCTTAAGCCATCGCCTTAGGGGACTGCACCCTATTCCAGAGCTTCCCAGTGACTTTTTGTCCATTCTCCCTCCAATAGTGGTGGTGTGATGATCTACTTTGACAGAATTGAAGTGGTGAACTTCCTGGTCCCGAATGCAGGTACGTCTTACAGTTGATTGTCACCACCAGCTCACTTTCCCCAGCATGCCACTCCTGTGCCTCTCATGGCATCTCAGAAAAGGAAAGGAGCTGTGTCTAAGGGCATTTTGAGTCTTGCCTTTTCTTATGTCAAGCCCTTTCCTTCCCTCCCAGTGTATGATATAGTGAAGAACTATACTGCCGACTATGACAAGGCCCTCATCTTCAACAAGATCCACCACGAACTGAACCAGTTCTGCAGTGTGCATACACTTCAGGAGGTCTACATTGAGCTGTTTGGTAAGAAAGTCCCTCCTGAGCGTGCATGCTTAAGCAGGGTTCCTAGAACCCTGCATCTCTCCACTCTCTAATGCCTGGCTGCCTGCAGGGTATGATGGGCACTTATGGACAGGAAATGTTCAAGAATCTCGTGCTTAGGAGCTGGTCACAAAGGAGTTCCTGGAGAATGCTGATGACAATGCAACAAGATCCTTAGAGGGCTAGAGCTTTGGGCACAGGGACCATAATGGAGTAGAGTATTTACTTCTGACCTCAATCAGAGGCTAGAGTGGAAATCTGTTCCCACTGTCCCTAAACTATCATTCTATCATGAAGACAGGGTTCATTCTAGAAGAACCATAGAATTGTCCAGCCCAGCATCCTCATTTTAAGATGAGGGTACTGTGATCCAAAGCGAGAAAGTCACAGAGCCAGGTGCCAGTTAGTAGTGGAACTGAAACAGGGGCCTTCCCCTCCTGGCTCTCACTTCAGCATTCTTCTCACCACGCCACCCTGAACGGAGGGCCCCCAGGAATGGGTGATGAAAAAGACACGATTCATAGTTAATTCTAGAAGTGAGAATTAATATGAGCTATGAGAACCATAGCTCCTTCCACTTCCTGGAACCTTCGTGATTATTATTTTTTTACCCTGTACCCCTAGCAATGAATAGAAAAACATTTAACCAAAAAGCCTCCACATGTCTAAGCAGATACGTTTTGTCCTTTTTACCTTTTTCAAAGTAAAGACATCCTGACTTAGCAGCAAAGGAAGGATACAGTTGAGTAACTGTTATAACTTGTCTGCAGTCAAGCACTCTGTTTAAACTCACTGCCAGAAATTCTCTAATAGCCAATGCCAAAAGTAAATGAATTTTTAACCAATAGTACAACTGTTGACACTTGGACTGGAAAATGATTTTTCCCAGGAATCTTCATAAAAGGGACCCTAAGCGAGAACATTTCTCACAGTAGACAGGAGGACTCATCCACATCGCCCACAGTAATAACTAAGCAAACCACCTTTTGCACCATTTAAGATTTAGGAAATCACCCAAATTATTTTTAATGTTTCTGCAATAGAAAATGAATCTAAATTGATTTTCTAGGGTTTGTAGTCTTTTATCTGTTTTAGATTCAGCGTGCTTTTAAGAAAAAATTGGTAAATTTGCCATTGATTTGTTTTTTAACCTCAAACTAATAGAATTTTATAAAATATTAATTCTCTCTAGCCATTGTCTTAGGGCTTGTGCCATTAATGAACATTTCGAAGCACTGAAACAAAAGACAAAGGATCCCTAATGTCCTGAAGAGAAAATTAAAATACAAAGTTGTTTTGCATTAGAAAACTTATGTCTTATAGCTAACTTGGTAGCTTAGTGAAGTACAGCCGTTTGTATGGAGGAGCTGGGGAAATATATTTGCTCTGAAACTTTTTTATTTTTACATCTCAGTCTTAGCAAGCACTACTTGTCTTAGAATCTGTCATATCCATAAAGGAGGAACTCAGGTCCCTAGTCCTGGCCCTTCAACTCAGAAGGTTCTTCTATACTTTCCTCCTCTCAGGACTCTCACAGCCCAGACTTTAAACATGAAGCTGCATAATTTTCATCACATCTTACTCTGCTGAATCCTCTTTGCCCGTGTTATTAAAGTATTATCTTTTTACTTACTCTGAAATTTACCTGAAGAACCTCTTTGTATGTACTTAGTAATATAACTTTTTTTTCCTGTCCCAACACCTTTTAATACAATGGAACAGATATAAACATGGATACAAACACATGGATATAGGTATCACTGAAGTAGTATGACATAATATCTATATATACAACACTCCTCTGCAAATAGCAAATATAAAGTAAAAGATACCCAACAGATCATTTTGTTTATCTTGCTATCATTTCTTAATCTATAGTCTCCCATGTATCCATGCAAGGAAGCAGTACTAGCTGTATGACTAGAGGGTAGCTCTCTTGGGTTACTTACTGAGACCTTAATCATTGTTTGGATCTGAGCTGTCCTACCCCCTCACTGCAGTCTGGCTTTTCCTTCTCTGAGTATAAACACTGACAAGGGATGGCTCACCTATAGCTTCAGTGTTTGAAGTAAAGAAAGCTTTATGCAGATTCTGGCTTTTATTGAGTCTCCTCTGACAGTTGAAAGATTCAAACCACAGTCAATTCCAAGAACCCTTCTAAGAACAGAGACAGAGTCACTCAAAGGATCTGATTTGCTATACTTAAATATAATTCATGCTGCTTTTCTCTATGATACACCATAATATTTTGTCCAAAAATCTTGAAACATATTATTAACTTTGAAGAAAGACTAAAACCAGCCACTTTAGAGACTAGAGACACTCAAGCACTGATCTATTCATAAAGTTTCTACACAGCTGAAGAAGTTTGCACAAATAGACAAAAAATAGTACAGAAAACCTCAATACAGCCACTTTAGAGACTAGAGACACTCAAGCACTGATCTATTCAAAAAGTTTCTACACAGCTGAAGAAGTTTGCACAAATAGACAAAAAATAGTACAGAAAACCTCAATACAGAAAAATTCAGAGAAAAAGCCATCTTTTAGAAAGCAGGTCAAATGGACTCAGTTAAAGTCCTCACTGAATGTAGGAGAACCAATGGGAAACAACGTAAAGCCTTCTGCTAGAACATAAATAGGAACCAGTCTATGTAATCAAGAAATTATTTTGCCTCCTGATGTAAATGCTTGCCTCCAGTCTAGGGCTCAGAAAAAGGCCTGGTTATTTGAACTGGTTGTCAATCAAGGTCCCCTTCATTTTCGCTTTCTTGGCTTCCAGTTCAGCCAGCTCTTGCAGTCGCATCTTGCTCATGCCTTTGCGCTCCAGCTGTTTTTCAATCACTTTGGCATTCTGCGCATAGGAGTCAGCAACTTCCCTAGCCTCAATCTCCTCTTCCTCTTCATCAATGGTAGACACAGTGACAGAAGTGAACTTGCCCATGTCTTTGGTCCATTTGGTCATCATCACCTTCTTAGGAGGCTCTTGTTTCTGAGTATATACGTTCGTTTTCCCAAAGGCCTGGCCAAACTTGACTAATGCTCCATCCACAATGAAGGTAACGGGAGCGTTATTCGGCTGGGATTGGTAGAAGAGCAGCAGTCCACACTTTGCACATTTCTTTCTGTACTGTCGTTCAGTGCCTTCAGGTCTCCGCAGATACACAGTCTCCTGGTCTTCTGTGTTACAAAACTTACGGGCATGTTTGGCAGCATCAATCACACGGGACCGGTCCCGGGGCCTCATGGGCAGTTTCTCTAACTGACAGTCCAGCAGTAGGACCATCTGGCCGCACAAACAGTAGTACACATGGAGGGGCTTCTCACCATCATCATATTCCTCCCGGTCCCGAGTGTCAGAGCAGACTACTGACCGAGACACTACTTTCGGCATGGTTCCCAAGAGCCGCCTGAAAAATCTGCGCATACAAGAGGGTCGCGCCGAAATGACGTCACGAGCGCGCCGCGCACTTTTCCCCTGCGGCTACCTTAGTAATGGGACTTAAATGGCCCTTATCCACATTTCCGTAACATATAAACATCGGTATTACTAAAACACCTTGCAAAGTATTCCACATTTTCCCGGTAAGCTACTAACCCAGGGCCACAGGTTTCCACCTTGACTGAGATATAATTTGGTCTGATGAATGACGTGTTATTAACTTATGAAGAACACGGGCCACTTTGGTTGACATTCTATTTAAAATATGAAATGTAATGTTTAGTTCTAGTTGTTAAATTGGTTGACCCTTAGCAGATGGGAGGGGCCGACTTTGGTGCTCAGAGGCTTGTGAGAGCACATCCTATATGTAGAAACGTTACCGTCCCTTGTTTACTGATAGTACTGTCTTAAAATCCTAGCAAAGCCCAGGCGTTAAACAAGCTTGTTATTTTGGCTACTAGCCAGTTTCCACGGGCCTCCGTTTTGGCATCAGTAAAAGGACAGAGACTTTCTCTTCCTCAGAGGCTCTTGTTTGGGCACAGGTGACCACAAAAGGACCACTTAAAGCTGACAGCAGCTGACAGTGAAGGAGAGATGCAGTGTACAAGTCCCAGTCTGGTTTCACTCGGTCTTTTTCTCTAAGCTCCTCTAGGATCTTACCGAGGATCTCATGGGCAGAGGCAGGAAGAGGATTCTAAAATCTTGAGAAGCCCAGGCCAGAGAAGACAGCTTTCATGCTGCTGTTCTGAGACTGCAGCTGGAAGGGAAGGGCGGGGGGGTGTAGTCAGTTACAGCTGTTCCTACATTTGTCTGTAAAACAACTCTTGTGAATTCCAGACAAAGAAATAAGGACCAAAGCAAACAGCACATCAAAAGCCTGGGGCTCACTTTCAGAACTGTAAATTTTAATTTTCCCCTTGTGTTGTTTGATGGAGTTCCTAATAGAAACAGTCTTCCTTGGGGCTCTCCTTGATGTCAAAGTCTGTTTTTCTTTTAGAAACTTCTAAAATTACTAGATTTAATATGCTCAGCTCTTTCCACAAAACCTAAATAGCCATTCCACCTTCCTTCGTTGTGGAAACTGTGAATCTTCCTTCTCTTTTGCTGCTGTTGTCTAGGGAAGGGCTGCTGCCTCGTGCAAGAAATGTTCTAGAATTGGTGTCCTTTCTTTTTTTTTTCCAAGTTCATCCCCTGTAGGGCATGGTTAGTATTTTCAGCAACAAAGGTTGAGTTGTATCTTGAGGCACAGAAAGAGGATGCCCTATCATTCGCGGTGTAGAGGGCTGTCTGTTCAGGCTACTCCGGAAGTTGGGCAGGGCATCTTTAGATTTGTGGGCTTTGATAAGCACCCTCGCTCGGGAAGGTACATTCTTGAGCTGATGATTGAGTTTGTACTTTACCCTCAATCATGCCCTCCCTCATCTAGAAAGTGTTAACAACTCCTTTCCCTCTGTCTTTTCTTTATTCCAGATCAGATTGATGAAAATCTCAAACTGGCTTTGCAACAGGACCTGACCTCCATGGCCCCTGGGCTGGTCATTCAAGTAAGCATTGCCGCATGGGAGCAGCCCCTCTCTCTCTGACACTGCGTCCCGTCTCCCAAGGGATGTTCTTTTTGTGCAGGAAGATCAAGACAGTGGGAGCTGTGTGTGTCCCTCACTACCCTCACTTTCCCATCAGCTGCTGTTTTAATCTCTCTCCAGGCTGTGCGGGTGACAAAGCCCAACATACCGGAGGCAATCCGCAGAAACTATGAGTTGATGTGAGTATACCCTCCACCTGGGCTGTGACCACCACTGCCTCCCACCTCCCACCTCATCCCATCCCAGAGGTAACCGAAGCTGCCTGGCTTCTCGGTTATCCCCTCGCTAGAGGATTTGCCACAGCCCACTGCACTGTAAGATTGGGCAGACGTGTCAGGGCCACGACTGGGGCTGCCTACCTGTGATTGAGAACCCCAGGAGAAGCCCTATAAAGCAACAATGCTTTGAAAAGGGCCAGGGGGCCTTGTTTGTATTCAGTGACTCATGCCCAAGGGGAAGACAGAAGCAAGAGACCAGTAAGTGGACAGGCAGGTGTACTTTACTAAAGTAAATTACATTTTATTTCCCACAAATGAGTTATTTGGGAGAAGAGCTGTGTACTGTCGGCAACAGATCAGCTTTTACCTAGGCCATGGAACAGCCTTCCAGGAGGAGTAGGAAATGGGAGTTTGCCTCTCTTCAGCAGAAGAGTTGAGCTTCTTCTGGGGACAGTGAAGTTCCTGAGTTTTTCGTAGTGGCCTCACGGCTTTGTTTCCTCTTCAGGGAAAGTGAGAAGACAAAGCTGCTCATTGCAGCCCAGAAACAGAAGGTGGTGGAGAAGGAAGCAGAGACAGAGCGGAAGAAGGCACTCATTGGTCTGAATGTGGTTCTGTGATCCCCCTTTCCAGGCAGAAGGGCTGGGGGTAGTGGGAAGATGCAAGGAGGCTGAGGCCTGCTGAGACCCCATGGTCCTCCAAACCACTTCCACAGCGGAGGAATGGCAGGTGGACTCCCAGAAGCAAAGTTGAAATTGTCAGATCATGGCCACGGGGAATGAGTTTTGAGTTTCCGCTTACCTCTTAAATGAAAGGAGCCCTGCCTGTTAATTCTTAACTCATAATAATAACGGCTAATACTTAATTGAGCCACATACTTTCCTAAGCACTTAATACGTGGGTTAACTCAACCGTCACAACCACTTTGTGAGGTAGGTACTGTATTATCCTTAATCTTATTTTATCAAACCAAAGCACAGAGGGGTAAAATACCTTGCCCAAGGGCATATGGCAATAAGGGATGGAACTGGAGCTCCAACCAAGGACACTTGCTCTAGAAGCTATGTTCTTAGTCACCGCACTGTATTATCAACAACAAACCTGACCCCTGTCTGCGCTGAAGGGCCAGGTAGAACCCTACTAGAGTACTTCATTCTTTAGAATATTCCTTTGGGAGACGTTCCCTTGTGAAGTTAGGGCTCCTTCTTACTATGTTGGGCCCAGGTCTCCTTGGTTACTGCCTTGTGCTTATGGAAGGGGACTCTGCTCACTGGCACATCCCACTCTGCCCGTGTGTGCCCTCACCGCTGCCCTCTGGGGGCTCTTCAGCCGAGCTGGCCCACTAGGACACTGAGCTCAGGGAAAGGTGAAATCAAACTCTGAAATGTCAGAACCCTAAGTCTTTCCTCACTGTCATTTTTTTCAGAGGCAGAAAAAGTGGCGCAGGTGGCTGAGATCACCTACGGGCAGAAGGTGATGGAGAAGGAGACTGAGAAGAAGATTTCAGAAATTGAAGGTAAGCAGAAGCGATGCTCGTGCCTGCGTCCTCCCCAGACCCCGCCCTGTGGCCCGTGGGTGGGGGAGCCGTTGCCTTTGCCCTTTAACCGCGCTCTAGGATAGCATGATCTCTGTGCAACGGCAGCTTTCCTCCATGCAGAGACTTGAGATTTGAGGCGACTGTGGCCAGACCCGCATCTGTTTTCTACTTCAGAGAGCGTTCGTTCATTCAGCAAATGTGGCTTGGGTGCCAGTATGTGTCCAGCATTTTGTTAGACGTGAGAAAAAGGAAGTCCCATAGTCCCTGCTGTCTTGAAGTTCCCAGGTTGGTGGGGCCTTGGAGCACTGGGAGCACACTCAGCAGCTGGCTCTCCCCCATGCCTTAGCTACCCCTGCTCCAAAGTTGGTTGGCACCATGGTTTTGGGCTCAAAGTCTGTTCTCCAGGTCTATATAGATATCAAGCCAGGTTTGAAGAAGACAGATTTTCAGCACCAGTCACACAGGAACTGCAGAGAAAGGTTTTCTTTGCTGGCTTTTCTGAATATCATTCACCTTCTATTCCTGCTCCTAGGCCTGTACCTCCTTCCCACTGCCCACCTCTTACTTGTTGGGTTGGCTTATGTCAAGCAAATTCCAAGGCAGAACTGGAACCTCAAGGCCCAGCTTCAGGCTACAAAGTGTTATGTCCAATTATACTCATTATGGGGCCTGTCAGGCTTTGCAGGGCCCCATAGAGGAGCCAGTTAGGATTTCACAGATCAGCAGCTCCTCATTAGGGAGCTCTTAGCAAAGCAACACGTTTTTATTTCTCACAAATACCTGTCATCAAGTGGTCAGGCCAGCTGAGGGGGCCCCACGGCAGCCAGAACCCTGGCTGGACTGCAGGCTTCTTCCACGCAGGGTCACACTGAGGGCATGCAGTGAGAACCCACCCGCAGACTCACCTTTCTCCCAGGCCTGCTGCTGCAAATATCACTCACATGAGGCTGGCCTGTTTCTAAGACAAGGGGATACGTATCAAAAAATTTTGCATCAGCTTGACAGAAAGCTAGTCTCAGAGCTGATTAGGGAAGAATATGGCTTGCACAGTGGAATTAAATAGGTCTTAATCAAAACATATATTGGTCTGGCCCATGGCATGTAATTCTCTCTCAGACTTGTGCCGGCTTAATCACTGTTCATTAGGACCTTTTTGAAATGATTGATGGAAAGAAAAGGGAAATGAAGTTGGAGAGGGACTGAACTACGTTATGCTCATTGCATTCGGTTCTCGGGTGGATCCACCTCTGGCCGTACTCAGAGCTGCCTTTGAGCTTTCCTTGCTTTTGCTGTGTAGTACCAGAGGGAGGAGCGGAAGGCTCTGGCCTCGAGCTTGAGGTAGGATCCCACTGCTTTGCTTCACAGACGTGGATCTCCAAAAGAAGGAAACAGGTGGAGACAGGAAGTGCTTCTGGCTAGCATTGCTTTTTTCCATAGTACTGTCAATGTGTATGTTTGGGCCACAGACACAGACTTGCTGTCCCTGTTATCAGGAGATGCGTTCAAAGCACTTTTTCATCTTGGTTGATCCTTACAGCAACCTGTACAATAGGGGAAAATACATTTAAAGCACAGAAGAAAAAGCAATCTCCCCAAGGTCACAGTGGCAATCAGGAGCGAAGTTCCAGGGACCAGAACAGAGTCTTCCCATAGCCTGTGCACTTCCTACAAAGAACTCAGTTTTAGCCCTTCACCAAGTTCACTGCACTCCTTCCCTTTCAGACGCTGCATTTCTGGCCCGGGAGAAGGCAAAGGCGGATGCTGAGTGCTATACTGCTATGAAAATAGCCGAAGCCAATAAGGTAAACACCCTGCACAGCCGATAAAGAGGTGTCTTCGGGTCTGGGTCTATACTGCTGGAGAGTTTCCAGCGTTGAATGCCCACCACCACCCAAAGGCCTTCATGGCCAGAACGGAGGACGCCTG